AATTCATTTAGCAAAGTGTATGATTACCTTGTCCAGTTACGATTCACCAAAAAAGAAATGATAAAAAAATTGTATCGAGAATTTATTGTTTTCATTTCAAATAAATATGAAAAACTTCGAGATATTTCATAACAAAGGTATTTTCATAATTAAAGTAAGTTCCTTATCAAGAGAGCATAGCCGGTGCACCACGTGACACGCTCATTTCAATTAACGCGCGTAATTAAAATTGTAAGTAAAAAAATATAGTATTAGCTACGAGATTAATTTATGTCGAGCGATAAGAGTATTTACTGAGCCACTGTTCGATTAATTCTGTTAACGTTGGCAATGTAGGACCCATATTGTTACCTTTATCGTTCCTCTTCTGTTCATTATCAAAAGATATTGTGACCCTAATTGAAAATTATATAACCCTAGCAAGAAAAAAACTAACGTCTTTCCTTCTAAAGAATAACCAAAAATGATCGTCGTAAAGTGTCAACAAGCTGAAGAATTGTTATAACATTGTCTGCGTTTAAGTAAAAAATAATAATAATAAGAATCGAAACAATTTGCTGTCTCTTTTTTGCAAAAGGAGTAAGAAGGATAAGGCTATGTTTACATCTGTTTACAAAAACAACAACAAGAAAATTAACAAACATTCCGGGAAAAAAGCGTAACGATTTAAAGACGGAATAAAAAACAAAAATTAAGTCAATATTCTTAAAATGTTGGCTAATTTAAGTAATCAACCTTAAACTTACCTTAACCTTAACCTTAAATGTGAATAAATGAAAATTATATACGTATTTGTAAAATAAGAAAGTTATAAGAGTGATTAAATATTTTTCCATCCTAAGTTGCCTACAATCGATATTCAGTGCGAATAAATACATTTATGAACTTATAAGCTGAATTATTAATGAGACCCGGTTTTTCTTACTAAAGTTTTCTAGTACATTCATGCACAAAAATGTACAAATAAATGCGATCAAAAAGATACAATCAAAACAAAGAAAGAAAGGTGTTCTATAAAGGTGCGATAAAATGCCACTTAACAAACACGAAGCGAGCGCAATATTAACGCCCCCCGTACAACGTACAAGTACTTCAATAAGGCAAACATTAACTTATCTATGCCGATTGCATTGCTAATTGTACTCAAACAATATCCTTTTGTTAGAAAGACCTAGTTTTGGTCGCAAAATACTAAATTATAGCTGCAACCCGTTCGAACAATGGCCGGCCCGAGTTTCAAACGATTTCATATTTTCTTTCTTTTATACGATATACGATAATTTTATTTTGTACCTGTGTGTGGAATAGAATAGAAACAAATACATAGAAGGGGCTGGAACTGCGGTGAGGGAATAACAACTTAATCAAATGAATGTTCGGAATTTTATAGTCCGTTATTTTTCAAATTACCTTTAGGGTAAAATAAAATTCGAAATCAGAAAGTCTCACAAATACAAAAAAAACAATTAAATAAAACATTAGTCATGTACCTATTATCATAGTTACTAGAAATACAAGAGATAGTAATTCTAAAATGTCTGCACAAAGAAGCAGTGAAACTATACTTCATATAGACTCAAGTATTATATTCTCATCAATGAACTTGATCAAGAAAACAAATGAAAATCAGACGCACTTTGTAAATCCAGACGACAACTAATGAATAAAATCTCACAGGCAAATTTTGCGAACGTCAGTCAAAAGGGTTAGGTACGTACTTTGGGATAAACAACTTTATATTCAGCTACATATTGCACACGAAAAGGACACATTAAGTATGCATTTATGACAGTCGATTTTCATTGTCAAAACACTGCTGCAAAAACAAATTATCATCCCTCACATTGTATTTGAAGGAATTGAGAAAACAATATTTTTTATGCAAGTTTTTCGACAGTGGAAGTCTACGGTGAGATGGTGCGCGTGACATTCGGCATTGGTGAGAGGAAGATCATTCATAAATGCATACTTAATGTATCCTGTTGATGTGCAATATGGATGTGAATATAAAGTACTTGTTGTTGCAAAAACCTTATGTTCCAGACAGAAGTAGTCACAAACAAGATAACCGAACATATCAGCAGCGTTTTACATTGGAATATTGAGTACTAAACACATGTACGCAGAGATTTCATGTTTTGACATGACAGAGACCTTGCACGATTTTTTTAGACCTATCGCTCGTTAACAAGGTAAAGATACCTACTTGATGTTATTTTCGAATACTTTTTTTTTTATCATAAGGTGGCAAACGAGCGATCGGTCACCTGAAATCGCTGAAATAGCGAAGTGACAGTTGCCCGTTGACATACGCAAGTCCCATGCATCCTCTCATCCGGAAAGTCCACTTCCATTTCCTATACTTTCCTTATAAGAAAAAGTGTGGGAAGGGAAAGAGGACTAAATTAGGCCTCCGGGACGCACACTCATCAGACGAAACGCGGAATTGCTTCCACTTCACGCCTGTCTTCTGTGTGGTCGTGGTATTTCACCGGGCGAGCTGGGTCAATTCGTGCGGAGATGTTAAAGCGGGCTCTACCACTGCTAAACCACTAATACCACTTACTAACCTTTTAAAACAAAGAACTCTTAAGACTAATATATACATATCAACAAAATTGTAGTGCTTTTATGTGACATTGAAAATAATATATAGATGTGTTACATATGCATTTGTGTAGCTGATAAAGACAAATGTAGTGTTAAAGTTTATGTTTGTATGTCTGTCTGTATATCTTTACGCCAGGCCGCTTTGTTCTGGATAATCTCCGAAACGGGTGATCTGATTTTGATTGGACTTGGACGGGTTGGGATTAGGGAAGGAAGTTGATGCACGCGGGCATATTATGGGCGATTTTTTTAATTATGCGCTAACGAAGTGCCGTGGCTAAATTGGTTTTAATATTAAAATAGCAGTAGTTTCTCGCGAGTAAAAACTTACTCCAGTTTGGTGTAATCCGTCCTAGGAATATTTTTTTTAACTCAAACTTTTAAGATAAATTTAAATTCCTTAGTACTTCGAAAAAACACACAAACTACGCGTATAGTTAGTTGTGTATGGTAACCGTCAAATATAATACAAACATTAGCTTATTTACTTCGTAACTTTGAAGGCAGCCATAAAAAAGATATCAAAATTACAACTCGCGAAATGGATACTGTATCTTTATTTATAATATCTGCCTGTACTACTGGGACGTGGGTGTGAGTGCTTTTATCATTCACAAAAATGCAATGAGCGAGCCATAAAGCTATAGAAGAAGCAGTTAAGGAAAATTTTTATCTTTTTAGTTTAAATACCGCAACGTAAAATAAACGCAACAGCCATTAAGAGCCGCTCGGTGTGTCCGCCGCTCGCTCACAATGATTTAAGATGCCATTTTGTTTCGAGTATTTTTATATTATTATCATTACATTAATACGTGAAGTTTAAACTTTAAGGAAATTGCGTGAATGGAAGAACATAAATGACACAGTAAAAATTCTAGTCTATCTTTCCTGTTGGCGTAATTAAATAATTAATTTGTAGAATAAGTGCATAAAGGTATTTTAAAAAAAATCTTTGATTCGTGGTCGATTTTCTATCAATGGGCTTACTAATTGTTGTAAAATGATATTTTACTAACGGTTATACGGTTACATTTCGAACGCGCATTTAAGGGAGCTGTGTAAAATACGTTTAAAATGAGAATTGATAATTCATTATCATACGCCATCTTGTGACGTCATAATTTTGGAAGCGAGAAAATAGGTAGGAGCCGTAAAAAGATTTTAAAAATATTTTGCATCCGAATATCCGGTAAAAAAATATTTACGGATATTTTTTTAATTAATGCTTCTTTTGACAAAATTAGATGCACATATTCTTATGTTCTTATTTGAAACGCTATCTTCAGCGTCGATATTAGAATTAAGAATTTTTTAATTAATATCCCTTTCAGTGCTGCCAGCTTTACATACTGCCTGTTCTAATTAAGCTTACTCATATTGTAGCTAATATTGGAAACTTATACGAGTGTTAGGATTAATCTTTTAATTTAATAAATTACCACGACTCAATATTATAAGGTCAAGAATAACCTTCATACAAATGTCTTAATATAAAGATTTACGTAGGCGAGAAGGGTTTTTATATGATTGCCTAATTAGACAATCATAAAAATTACTTTATTCTTCCAAATACCAATTTACGATTGTTTATTATTCGTGAGGGGGTAATTTTTTATGATAAATTAATAAAATTTTGTAAAAACGATATGTAATTTAATATTTTTTTTTGTATTACACATCTTCCCCGTCTTTTAATAGTTTTAATTAGATGATTAATTAAGAGCATACATCTTATAATAATTGATTTATACATTAATTTACCATTCAACATTGTAATTAAGAGCGAAACGTTGACGAAGAAACAATGTAAGGCGTTCAAACTACGACCGTCGAGCAATGAGCGAAAGGAAACAGAGAAACTTAGGCGCTCGCTCCTGTGTCCCAGTTCCCGGCGTGTCCTGCCCTGTTAAATGCTTTACTTTACTCGTATAGAGGTTGTTTGACATTGACACCACCAAAGCTCTTACAACATTGTTATTGTGTGTAGTAGACTTTAGTACTTCATGTTCTCAAAAGTTTCAGTTTTACGTCGATCGGGTGCGGATCATTTGTGGATGTAGGAAGTGTGGTCGTGAAAAGTGCAAACTTCACGTTGCTAATAACAAAACACACCAAGTCCACGGTACACAGTAATTTTCATATTAGACGCGGAGTGCGGGCCCGAAATAAATTAATTACGGAACACGATACGAGGTGGAAAGTTTGGCGAGGGAGAGGAAAGAGCGCGGGGCGCCGCCGGGGGACAGGCGAGGCGGGCGGAGGGCGCGCGCTGCGACGGCGGGAAAAGTTTGTAAGTTGGTGCGGACCGCGGCCTGGCGCTCCGCTTGGCCTTAGCCTCGGCGGCGATGCGGTGAAGGTGCAGCTGCAGGTGCAGGCCTGTAAGTACTCACCCGTTCCTCCTCGCGGATCATCTCGGCGATGCCGGGGCGGATGTCGACGTCATCAGCATGCAGCGGTGGCGGCACGGGCGCGTCCGGCGGCAGCAGGTGGTCGGGTGAGCCGTGTGCGCCCAGCGGGCCAGGATCTACGACGCGCCGGCGTGCTTGCCCTGGAGACTCGGGTTCGTGGCTGCCAGCGCGCTTGGTACCGCGCGCTTCGGCGGCGGCGGCTGTTCCCGCGGGCCCCGCGCCCCCTGCACGCAGTACGGCCGGCTCTCCGCTCACATCCGTCAACCCGCGCACCTTCAGCGTCTCCGCTACCTTAAGCAGTGCCGAAATCTGGTCCTGAGACACGTTAATCTCTCCGCGGTACATGAAATCCACCACCGCCTTCAGGTCGCAGTATTTGATGTCGCGCATGATGATGATCGGGTGCCGGCACGGATTGTCCATGAACAAGGTCTGGAAGTATGGGCTGCATGCGGACAGCACCACCTTATGAGCCTTCAGGCTGCGGCCCTCGCACGCGAGAGTGACATCGACGAACGACTCCGTCTGCAGGAGTTGGTCGAAACAGTTCGCCAAGTTGCTCTGGTAGTTGTTCCATCGTAGACAAAATTGCTGGGGCGAGCCGTCGGCGGCATCGCGGGCGTCCATAGGAGCGGGTTCCTCCTCGGCCGGCATCGCTTTAACGGCGGCGTGCTCGCATCTGCAACGAACGCGCTCGATGTAAATAGGCGCTATGCGTGCAACGCGGGCGGCGACTCGCGAGGCACTGAACGGAGGCGCGCGGCGGTGGCGCGGGGCGCGGTGCGAGGGCGGGGCGCTGGCG